AAGAGAGAGATCCAGACGTCACCCAACACAACCTACACACCTCATGTTCCTGCACAGCAACACAAGACGAACAGCTCTCCTCTCACACAGAGCACTACTCCAGGCTTTTAAATGCCTCATTCTCAATGCTAAGCGCAGAAACTAAGCACACGGAAATTTGAGGGAAGCTTCTAAGACAGACAACAGCAGCAGTCTTGATTCTTGATAACACAGAAAGCCAGCGCCTTACTTCTAGGTGCACACAGCAGACGACACACACTCAACGCAACGAAACAGCCAACACTCCACATAATTTGGCAAAGAGAAGATACTCTCATTCCATGAGCGAGGCAGTTACGAGCACGGGACAATCAACAAACCTACCACGAAAGACCCTTTGGCATTCAACTAATCCACTGCCATCAACCAACACTCCACCAAGAATTCAACAGAGACCTGGGAGATACAAGTGCAACGAAATCTTTTATAAAAAGTAGAACAAAAGAAGTACATATAAAAATAAGTGATAAACGACATCCAATCGAGTTAAACGTGGCTTTTATCCAAAAGACGGCAATAATCGAATGCTGGTGAGGCATGCTCGCGCGCAACACGGGGACACCTCGCACCGTTGTTGGTGGGACATTACTAAACAGCTCACGTGCACAGCACTGCGAGGCTCCCCTCACACAAGCAGACTAAACATCATGATCCACGCATACTCTGGCAGCTATCAAGCCCAAAAAGAAGAAATCAACATACTGGCCGAGCTACTCTGCACTCCATCGTTGCAGCACTACTCACACATAGCAAAGATATGAATCCAACTCAAGTGTCCACCAACAGCATGAAATCGATCGAAACTTGGTCACACTATATACCAGTGGCTACACGGTACCATATACACACCCCCACCGCTGGACCATCATTCACGTTCGCAAACAACAAGAATTAACATCCTGTCATTACAACAACATGGATGGCAACTGACACATTCTGCTCTAATGACCTACACAGCATCAGAAATACGCAAAAATTCATTGCATGTTCTCACTCATATACGGCACCCCCCCCCGCCCTCACGGCGCGAGCTAAGCAATAAAACAATCTGATCCTTATGGAGACACGGAGTAGAATCGATCGGTTCCAGAGGCGAGGATCGGTAGCCAGACAGGCAATAATGCGGGCATTATTAGCTGCACACAACACTCATACGTCTACCACTCACGATCCCAACACGACTCTAGTCATCTCCTCGCTAGCACACACACGGATCGACATGCCCCAAATGTAACGTCTATTGTCATCACTTTAAAACTACTAACACAGAGTCCGGAATTAGGAATGTGTCTAAACAAAGAACGATAAATGCTTCGGGCAATGGCCTACCCACTCTCATTACCCTGATTTAACTTATTACCCTCTGCTACGCTTGATCAAACCATCACCCATATGTACTCATAATAATTAAAAATAAATTTTAAAAAATAAGAACTAAAAGTTAAAATACCTAGAAACTAAGATAGCACATTTCAGATATGTTTAAAAAATCAGTGATAAAGAATAAGAAAAGGAGAGGATCAATAAAGGAAAGAAAGAGTAAAAATGATAAGGAGAAAAAACAAAACTAAAATAAAATATAAAAACAGACCTCAAGAATATAGTCTCCAGACAGAAAGAGCTCACGACGACCCCAGCAAAAACATAAAATGACCCATCGCAAAATATATCATGGTGAAATTCTTGGAATTAGGAATAAAGGGATGCTCCCAGGAAGGAAAAATACATCATGTACAAAAGGACTAGGAAAAAGAAAAAAACCACACTTCTCACAATAATATTAGAAATTAGATGACAATGGAACAAAAACTTCAAAATTCTGAGTGAAAATATTAATAATCCATACAAAATTCCAGCCAACTTGGCAATCAAATGTAACATATATATATATATATGTAAAATTCTCAAAAAACAGTTACAGCCTATGCAACCTTTTTGTAGCTACTGGAGGATATACTCCAGAAAAATGAGGGAGTAAAAAAAAAAAAGTATCCCACAGAGGCTAGAGAACAATGTAGGCTCAATGTAGAGAAAGGTAAATGGAATTCTCTGGATGACAGTGGGGCAGCCAGCCCAGAAACGCCGAGTCCAGATTAAAGCAGGGGGACCAAGGGTCTCATATAGATGACTCCAAGGGATGGGGGAATGAAACTATGAGCTCCTTAGACCTGTGGAAGATTATATTGAGATATTTTTTGAGCTCTCAGAATGCGTGACAAGCTAAACACAGATTCAAAGAAAACAAAATAAATGAAAATAAGGCAATCATTAATGTTGCACAAATGAGGAAATCTAATCATGATACACATTTCATAAACATAAGGTGAAAATATCAAAAAAGGCTTTGACCACAATTTGTGAATGGAAAGCTGCACTGCCCATTTACCAAGCTAGGAGGTCATAAATAATACCTCAATTTGATTAATAGATATAGCATTCCTTTAAAATATACAGGTTTTTCCAGAAAAGACAATTAAAAAGAACTTAAAATTATTGCCCCTGGGAATCGGGGTTAGTCAGGAGACTTCTGGTTCTTTGTTATGAATTTTAAAATCCTATTTATGTTTTCTAATTGTAATAAAAATAATTTGATAGCAATAGAAAGTATTCTTAATTCATTAGTGACGACTAATAATGATAGCTAAGCTTCAGTGAGTCTTTCTGTGTGCCCGCATCAAGTGGATAGCTTCACACACGTTACACATATAATCCTTGCCTAACACCTTCTAAGGTGATTACTGCTAACATCACACCATCTTACAGAAGAGGATGCTGAGGCTTACATGGAAGCAACCACACACAGTCAAGATCCAAATTCAGGTTCAACGCCAGAAATTGGGCTCTTATTCTATACCGCCCTTCAATTTTCAAAGACTTTATTTCCCATGCCATTCTATTAGGCACTATCAAGAAGCCACATGCCTGGTACACACATCTTGCACACACATAATGACTCCTCGTGGAAAAGTAACTCCCAGGACAAATAAGGGTACAGTATTCTGTAATCTAAATAAGCTCTGATTTGCCATTCCTCACCCCCTCCCTACCCTTAACATTCTAAGTTGGCCAAATGGAATTAAAGCTTTGAGTATTCAAATGTTAGGTGGAACATATCTTAGAAAACCCCACTGAGAATCCAAAGGAAACAGAAGTGTTTGTTGGCACCAAGCACCAAAAACTGGACAATGAAATTCTGCTAAATGAGCAGATCCTGACAAACCTACCTAAATGCAGTTAAGAAATAAAAGCTAAGATTCCCATAGATCTCAAAGAAGAGTTTTCCTCCTTTTGGTGAGGCTATGGAGAAACTGACATTCAGATCCATTGCTGGTGAGCGTAAAAATCGGTGCAATAAGTGTAGAGGCAACTTGCTAATATTTATTGCAATCCCACTTCTGGGAATTTATCCTACACATATACCACGCACAAGAGAAGCGATGAATGCATGAAGCTATTCACTGCAACATTGTTTTTAATAACTAAAGATTAGAAATGCTAGGCAGTCCTTAAGTCCATGCTTAAGGGCGTGGACTCTGTAGCCAAATTGCTACAAATCTGGGGCCATCCTGGATGACAAGATCCTACTGTTACATTTTCAGGGATTCTGCTGTTTAATACAATCATTATTAAAAATTAAATTATATAAACATATGATTAAATAAATGTTATTAAAAACAAAGGTAATATTTAAAACTCATCACCTTCTAATTATTTTACTATTATCTATGCCCTTGCCTAGGCTATTGAAGTCTATTACATCTGTAGGATAGGAATATTATATTACATAATAATGTGTGGCTGAGAGTCTCCTCCCAATTCGGTGTTCAACATCTTCAAGTTGGTGGCTTGAAATCAGCCATGGTGACACTATTTACACTTCAGAAATTGGCAAATGCCACAGAATGGGCCATTTTTTCTTAGAGAGCCATTTGTTAAACATTTATCAGCACTGTACTGGTTACAGATGACCTGTACCTCAGTTTTGCCATCTGGAAAATCAGGATAATAATAGCACTCACCTGACACAGTTGCTGTGTGGACTTGTGAGTTAATATATATATAGCCCTTAGGAGAATTCTGGGCAGGCAACAGGGTCAATGCTACGGTTAGCTCTGCTTTAGATATTACCAGTACAGAAAGATCGTCAAGCTATGTTATTAATATCAACATCTTTTTTTTAGAAAAGCTCAGCAAAGTATGTATGAATGCTGTATTTTAGATATAAAACAGGGAAAATTAAAAATACACATTCATAGTGTCTTGTATAAAGAAGCCTGGAAGAACACACAACAAAATGAATTAAACGGGTTTCCTATTTTTTTCTTTGGTTGGAGGAGTGGGAAGAAGTAGGTGGATGTGGGACTTGGATAAGAGCCAGACTGTTCACTGTACGTTGGATTTTCACTGCACGTTCTGTTTTTGAGCTATGTGGACATATTGCCTATTCGAAAAATTACATTAAAAATGTAACAGTTTTCATTAATCCGATAAGCCTTTCCTCCTCATCTTCTGCAATCAGAATGCCACGAAAGTCACTCTGTGAGGGTAAAAAGGGACACAGACCAAGGTGAGACCCTGGCCTGTGCCCTCCAGGAGTGTGTGCTCCACTTGGACGGGCAACGCACACATGGCGGGAACAGCTTGGAGGGAGGCGTGCGGGTCTGACCACTGCCACACAAACACGGCAGGCTTTGTTCTTCAATCATGCAGACATGAAACGGCTCTTCGGAAGTACTTACCCCGTGGTATAAGGGATGTTTATGCCCCCTAGATTAATGCTTTCACATCCAACAATAAACAGGGTTGAAAAACACAGTAAAGACACACCACTGCAGATCATGGCTAGTTTTGCAGATTCTCTGGCACCAAGTTTCAATTTTTTTATGATGTAGCCTCCCAGGACAATACCAACACCAGCACTGGGGACAATAATAACACCTGGAGAGAAAAGAAGGAGAGGATTAATTTGAGCTAGTGTATACTATTATCTAATTATTTTGCTTCTATTTGCTCACTGGTACTAAGAATCAAACATCACTCTAATCAATACAATTTCAGTGTGTGCGATGTCATAGTATAATAGTATTTTCAACACACAGAATCAACAAAGGACTCATATCCAGATTGCATTAAAAACTTGAACAAAGCAATAAAATAAGGCAAACCACCCACTAGAAAAGTGAACAAAACTTGAATAGGTCCTTCACCAAAGAGAAAATCCAGATGACCAATAAACACATGAAAGGTGCTCAACCTCATTACTAAGAGGGACATACAGATTATGTATCCAATATATAGGAATGATAAATACTTGGGTGATGGGTACCCTAAATGCCCTGACTTAATCATCATACATTCTGTGCATATAATAAAATTTCACGTGTATCCCACAAAAATATACAAATGTAATATACCAAAAAATTTTTTAAATTTTTTAAAAACCACAATGAAATACCACTACAGACCAATCATGTTGGTAAAAATTTTTACAGTCTGACAATAACGCACATTGGCAAAGATGTTGCATGTTGGAAACTCCCAACGTGTTAGTAGGACGTAGATTTCAACACTACTTTGAAAAACAATTTGGCATTAATCTCGTACAATTGAAGAAATACACACCCTGTGACAAGCAATTCCATTCCTAGATCTATATCCTGAAGAAACTCATGCACATGGGTACCAAAGAAAGTGTGCATGATACCTGAACCATCATAATAATCAAAAACTGGAAATAAAGCAAATGTCTATTAATAGATACATTATATGTAGAATATTCATATAATGCAGTAATACTATACCCTAATTAAATGAGAATAAATGTAGCTACAGCACACAGCTATGTGGGTGAATCATACAAAGACAATGTTGAATGGAAGGAACAAAATGCAACAGAACACACACAACATGATTACCTTTGCATAAAATTCAAGAATCTGCAAAACTAAAAAATATTGTCTAGGAATACATATACAGGTGGGACGACTATGCATAAAACCCAGGAAGTGATTGCCATTAAAAACCAAGAGAGTAGAGGAATGAGTGGTATCGGGAAGGGATACAGACGGCTTCTGCAGTGCTGAAAATACTTCATCCCATGACCTGGGTAACAGTTAGAGCTATGGTCTGAATATTTGGTCTCTACAATATTCTTATGTTGAAATTCTAATACCCAAGGTGATTAGAAGGTGGGGCCTTTGGGAGATAATTAGGTGACTAGAGTAGAGGCCTCATAAATGGGATTAGTGCTCTTGTAAAAGAGGTCTGAAAAAGCTACCTTGCCCTTCCACCATCTGAGGTTACACGGTGGGAGTTTACATGTGAGAAGACAGCTTTCTATGAGAAACCAGACCCTCACCATACACCAAATATACCAGTGCCTTGATCTTGGACTTCCCAGCCTCCAGAACTAGGAAAAATAAATTTCTCTTGTTTATAAGCCACCCAGTCTATGGTAATTTCGTTACAGCAGCCTGAACAGACTAAGACAGTTACAAAGTATTTAGTTTACAATTATTTATTATCTCTACATTTTGGCTAATGTACCTCTGGGTGTGTTATTTTTCACAGTAAAAAATAAAGAAATAGTCATGGTGCCTGCCCCAAGAACCTTAAAATCTAAAAGTGAAACAAACAACTTAATAGACAACTAGAGTACAATAAAAATAATTATATGAAGTGCAGGAAGAAGACAAGAAAAGAAGCATCGGAGACTTCCCTAGACAGAATTGGGAAGGGCTTTACACAAGTGGCAGTATTTGAGTTGACACTCAACAGATGAGACAGAATCTGCCCAATGGAGCAGCACAGAGAGAACATCCTACACAAAAAGAACGTGTGCAGAGAGGCATGAGACAACAGAATGGAGGATTCGGAGCTGTCTAAAACATTGAGAGTGTGGAATGCAGGCTGCAGGGAGGTGGGAAGACATGGGCAAGAGAGGTAAGGCAGAGCACAGGTGATCTCTCTGCTCATGGAGGCCCCTGAGGAATTCTGAACGCAGGCTGACAGGAGGGGAACTGTGTATCACAGAGATGGCTCTTGAACTGAAATGCAAGACAGCTTAGATGGGGTCCAAACTGGAGGAAGAGAAGTGTAACTGCAGAGGTCCTGGTGAGCCACAGGAAGGCCCTACACCAATGACACAACAAATTAGACAAGGAGGACGGGGGGAGAAAGGATGAGTGCTTGTCTTCAGCTGGTGCTAAGGATCCAGAAGAGGAGGAAAGACTTGCAGGGACCAGCTGATGGCTTCCACGTAGACCTGTTGAGCACCAAGGGCCTGAGGGACAATCCGGTAGGAGTGCCTCACCCAGGGCGCCTGCACCTGCACAGGGAGGAGCTGGGCTGGAGGGTTTAGAACCTGTAGCTGAATTCAGGACATAGATAGGATGTTCCAACAAGAAGACACAGAGTAAGAAAAGAAAAGGGTCAAAACCAACATCCAGAAGAGCACCAATGGCAAAGAGATATCATAAAAAAGGTGAACCACTCAGAGGAAGCTGAAAATGAGTAGCCTCAGATGCCAGAGGAAATTTGGGAAGAGAGATGTTGTAATGGGGAAAAATTGGGGCTTTGGGTTCAGAAAGACTGAAGTTCAAGTCCTCACTCCATCTTTCATAGCCATGTAATCATGCATGAGCTTCCTAAACTCTGGGACCCAGATGACTTTACTTTATCATGAAGATGTCTGCCTTCCCCATTAGAATGAAGATCACACGCACCCTCTCTGTAAGTAGCTACAGCACATAGTGTGTGGCACACAAAATAAACCGTAGTCATTGCCCTTACAACTGTGCCATAGAAAACCAAGGAGAGAGAGAGTTTCAAGGACAAAATGGACCACGGTGTCAAATGCCTCTGAGAAATCCAGAAAGGAAGACTAAAATGAGACAAGCACTGGAGCTCTTGGCAAGAGCACTTTTAGGGGTGTCCTGCAGGTAGAAGACAGACTGCAGTGGGTTGAGTAGTCAGTCATGAGGATCTAGACGTTGGGAATCCAGACTGCTCTTTCCAGATGTTGGCTGAAAAAGGAAGGAGCGGTGTAGGTCTAGAATTAGAGTGGGCCAAGACAGAGTTGGGGGTGGGAGGATTTTATGTTTGCTAAGATGCAGAGGTGACTAAGACATGTTTATATACTGAGAAAAACAGACAAAAAAAGGGAGAGAAGTTGAACATAGATGGAAAGGTTTAGCTAGTGACAATGCAAGATCCTTGGGAAGTCAGGGGAATATGGAATTAACAGCACAGGTGATCAGCTTAGCCCTGGACAGGTAGGGAGACCCCTTCATCTGGGCTGGAATGAGGAATGAGCCAGTGGGTGGTTGGTAGTTCCACAAATGTTAGGTTTTCTGTTTTTTCTGTTATTTTGAAAACATGATGTAATACATGTTGTAACAAATCATTTGAAAAACATAGAAAAGCGTGAAGGAACAAAAATTCATGCTTATTTTCTGGCACATTTCATCGCAGCCTTTGTGGGTTTTTTTGGTTTTTTTTTTTTTTGAGAATTGATAACATGCTGTAGATTCATATTTTAATAGCTTTGGGTTTTGAGTATTTTTTTATGCAATGGAAAACAAGACCGACTCTTAGAGGGAAGGGATATTGAGAACTTTAATGTGGCCAAGGTTTGGAATAACCATTGCATGAAAGTAAAGTGAGCACTAAGGAAGAGTATATAACCAGCTTGGCAAACGGAGGCTACCACGGGTGCAGATGACATCGGGTGCCAGAAGTCTGCAGCAGCACCCACACGCGCCGGAGTGGCTTGCTCCAGCATGTTTGACAGTCCACACTGTTGTTGTAAAGGAGAGGTTGAAGAGGGTTAGGTTAACTTAAAGTCTTGAGTTTTTCCCTGGCATCCGGTGTTCCTTTTGTAATCCTCACCAGAGTTCTATAAAATGGTCTTTTTACAGACGAGGAAATTGACAGCTCAGGGGACTGGCCTGCCCCATAGTGCACAGCGCAGGCGGAGAGTCTGGATGAAAAATGACATCTCTGTTACCAGCCTAGTGCTGGTCCACACTCCTGCAGCTGCCTCTTACAGCTAGGGGGTTGCTAGAATCCTGGAGGTAAAACAAGCTGGCTAATAAAATATCCTCCTCAGTAAGGAAGTAGTACACGGGCTATCGATGTGATTAAACAAACAAGGCTTTACCTTTTGGATGAAAATGGTCCATTCATAAAAGTCCTATTTCAATGGAACAATTTACGGAGTGATAGCTACTGTACTAAAGCCTCAGGATAACAACAGAACAAATTATAATTTAAAAGCAGCATAATTTATTTGGCCACACATCCTAATTAGTATTCAGCTCTTAAAAATATGACAAAACTTGTCATAAGTAAATTTGACAGTACATCAAACAGATTGAAGAGCCATTAAAATGTTGTCTTGGTGGTGTGGATGCGGAGAGAGAGGAACACTCCTACACTGCTGGTGGGACTGCAAACTAGTTCAGCCTCTGTGGAAAGCAATATGGAGATACCTTAAAGTGATACAAGTAGATCTGTTTGATCTAGCAATCCCATTACTGGGCATCTACTCAAAAGAGCAAAAGACACTCTATAAAAAAAGACATCTGCACTTGAATGTTTATAGCAGCACAATTCACAATTGCAAAGATGTGGAAACAACCCAAGTGTCCATCAATTCATGAGTGGATTAATAAAATGTGGTATATGTATACCATGGAATACTACTCAGCTTTAAGAAACAATGGTGATATAGCACTTTTTGCATTTTCCTGGATAGAGCTGGAACCCATTCTACTCAATGAAGTATCCCAAGAATGGAAAAACAAGCACCACATGTACTCACCAGCAAACTGGTATTAACTGATCAACACCTAAGTGGACACATAGGAATAACATTTACTGGGCATGGGGCAGGTGGGGGGGAGAGGGGGGGATGGGTATATACATACGTGATGAGT